AATTATCTTAGGGTGGCTAATAAATCCTTTGAAAGGGTTACAAAGTTCAAATATTTGGGAACAACAATAACAAATGAAAATTATACTTGTGAGGAAGTTAGGAGGAGACTAAATTCCGGAAATACTTGCTACTTCTCGGTTCAGAATATTTTATCTTCCCGTCTGATTTCTAAGAACCTGAAAATTAAATTATACAAAACAATAATTTTGCCTCTTGTTTTGTATGGGTGCGAAACATGGTCTCTCACTCAGAGGGAGGAACACAGATTGCAGGTGTTTCAGAATAGGGTGTGATGGACAGGACATGTAGCGTGCATGGATGGGACAAGAGGTGTGCACCGGGTAATTCTTGGGAAGCCTGAGGGGAAGAGACCGCTGGGGAGACCTAGACGTAGATGGGAGGATAATGTCAGGGTCCGGTGGAGGGATTTGGTTAATGCGGTGATGAACCTTCGGGTTCGGTAAGTCATCTAGTTAGTTAGTTAGCAGTACATGCATCTGATACAGTCCAATTTGTGCAGGTCTGTGCAAATACTATCAGTATTACGACGGAATGATTCAACAAGACGATGTTATTGGCATCAAGATCGCGCAGGTGAGCTCATTTGTCAGTGTTAAGGAGACCGTGAAGACACTTTTCTGGGCCATCTTCTGCATGAGCCCAGTAGAGTCAGCGGACGTGGTCATTGAAAACCTGCCGGGTCCAGACGAAGGCGTGACTTTAGTCAACAGACATGAGTTCACGGAGGCAGTGGGACACATTTGCTTCGCGGGTGAGTAGCACTCTACAAATATGTTTGTCTTTTACTGTAATAATACAATGGTTTACACTCTATTAAATGGACGAATAAAGAACAGTTTGGAAACCACTTTCATAAAAGTGATGTTAACTGCATTACATCAACTGATACAACATTAAGTACGAAGATTTCTGTCTTCTGGGTTATTGCGCTGTGTAGTCTGGTCGATGTTAACCAACGTTTCAGAGGTCATACTGCCTCCGT